TCCCTCATTCCCTCTCCACTGTATAGAGGATCACAATGTAGACGCCGCGGTTCCCTACCTGCGGGGAATCTGGACAAGCAAGAACTCCATCACCAGTTGGAGGAAGTGGAACACAGAGAGCTTGTAGAATTCCTGTCCCACCGATGTCTCCCAGCACTGTACAGACAAGGAAGGGAACACATCCAATGAGAGCAAAAAGTGGAGCAAATTTAGATAAATTGTGGTGGGAAAAAAAAATCAACATCTGGATATACTTTATATAAGACGCATAAAGATCTGTATTTAGCTGAAGTTTAAGCTTATATTGTTCCTTCCCTGGCTGAAAGCGCTGACCGGTCCTGGAAACGCGAGCAGCTGCCCGTTATGCTCATCATCTAACTTCAATACGTTACAAGTCACTGACCAGCAAGATGTATAACTTCTCTTCTGCTCCAGGTCATTGACTCAGAAAAGTTGGTGGCTATTATAATTAATTAAAAATATACATTTTGTATAACAATATAGATTCTCCAATATACATTTTTGTTAATGGAGTTTCTCTTAAAAACACAAAACTACACATGACGTGCTGATGCATTACCTCGAAAAGTGAGTTGTAGCCGCAGGTCCTACAGGGCTCCGGACTGCCACCCAGGCACAGAATCTTCTGACCCAGAGAAAAGAAGAACATTCCCAGAGTCCCAAGCCTGAGAAAGACACACCTGGGCAAGAGGTATAAGGATGAAACACGTCTGTGAGTGGTGGGAAGGGTAATGCAGGGACAAGGTTGGTGGGAAGGGTAATGCAGGGACAGGATTGGTAAGGTTGGCGGGAAGGGTAATGCAGGGACAGGATTGGTAAGGTTGGCGGGAAGGGTAATGCAGGGACAGGATTGGTAAGGTTGGCGGGAAGGGTAATGCAGGGACAGGATTGGTAAGGTTGGCGGGAAGGGTAATGCAGGGACAGGATTGGTAAGGTTGGCGGGAAGGGTAATGCAGGGACAGGATTGGTAAGGTTGGCGGGAAGGGTAATGCAGGGACAGGATTGGTAAGGTTGGCGGGAAG